CTAACTTAATATACAAGACAAACAAATCTATTAAATATTTATATTTATTTTATTAAAACTTTGATACGATTCAAAAAATGATATATGACAATCATTCCGGAAAAAAAAAAAAAGAAAAATGGAAAGCATATTTATATTTTACCATTCAAATTTGGTGTTATTTATGTTACAAGTATGTATTATAATTATGTTCATATGTGTTGATCATTATTTAGGATTGAATTGGAAACTAAATAATTTAATTTATACAAATTAAATTCGAATTATTTGAAAATTATCTAAATAAATCAACTTGTCGCAAATGCATATACATTGGATCTAACTAAATTCGTTATCATTTGTATATTTTGATATTTTATATCATTTATTGATTAGTAGTAAAAAATTGAATGAAAGTATATATATTTATTTTGATATTTTTGAATAAAATAATATTTTTACATAGCAATTTACTAAAGTAATAAATATTTTATTTGATTTTAAATAATACAAAAAATACTAAAAATAAAATAAACCAACAAAAATTTTATTAAAATATTAAAATACTTAATTTTTTATAAAAATACAAAACATATTATCATAATTGGCTACAAGCTCTCGATGGTCTATGAATATTGGTCCAATATTTTGGGGCCTTATCAATATAATCAAACACTAATCATAAATTAAAATTTACTAAATTCTGTGCCCTATGAATATCGTGGCCCTAGCCCAAGGTCTGTACTCACGATCCGAACCCTTGACCTGACTCATGCCTCATCTAAGATCCGTGTCTTTCTTCAAGTCAAATCATGTCCGTCTTTTTTAGGGATTTTACCTTGACCCTCTATTACATTAAAACCCTAACTATATAGAGAGAGATAGGTACGCCGTCATAGGTACTACACCTTCTCTTTCTATTTTGTCTCTAGTCTCTCTCTCTCCCTCACGCTCACCTTGTTCCTTCGACTTCTTTTGCGATGTTTCAGAGAGGTGCCTTTATCATGTTTTTATGCAGCTCCTTGGCTTGTTCTTTCCCTGATTTTTTGTTTTTTCGAGCTGTAAAGGGCTCGTTCAACACTGTATAGGCTCCTGCTTTGTTTTGTTTTGCCTTTTTTTTTTTTTTTCCGTGGGTGTTGTTTTATTTATGTTTCGTTGATTTCAGGACGGTTCTCGTGTGTTTAGACATGTTTTGGGTGTGTTTTCTAATGATTTTATGTTCTTTGAGTGTTTACAGCGCTTAGCGTTAAATCACGCAAAAGCTTATCTGTGATTCGGTAAGTTGGTTAAGCATGAAAACAATTACCTAATCACAAGCCATAACACACCTCTAGATTTCTGTCATGTCTATATATATATATATGTGTATCTATGCTTTGATAGTTTGATAAGGTAGAGAGAAAATTCAATACATTATTCAAAAAAAATGAGGAAAATGAGGGTTGCCGTGATACCTCATAGTGGCACGTATATGCCTTGTCCTTTTTTGAGGAAAATGAGGGTTGCCGTGATACCTCATAGTGGCATGCATATGCCTTATCCGTGTCGTTTACTATGGCGAATGCCAAAGAAATCATGTGTTGTGCAACGGACCCCATACCGTAATGGATACCAAGAGTTAATGGCCACAGGCGAAGAAGGCAACGAGTTTGAGCTTATTTGTGCTGCCTGTGGGTACCACTACATATTCCACCACCATATCCAAAGTGAAATTCCTAAATTTATTTATAACAATTAAGAGCTCCTTAGGAAAAAAAAACAAAAAACAAGCATTTTCATATTGTAATTTATGTTTCAATACTGTGTATGTTGCGCATCGATCATACTTAATTCAACTTTGGACATTTATGTGTTGTATATTGATCATATTTCATTCAACTTTGGAGATTTATATAATGGAATTAGTTGCTTGATTTAAATACTATTATGTATTGTATTCCAATCATTTCTTGATGATTTTATTCTTCGTAAAACCAAACTTACACGAAGAGATGAACAAAAATAAATAAATAAAAATCATAAATTTATGGGTAATTGCTATTAAGAAATGTTAATAATTCATTACATTACCGATAAAAAACAATTTAGAATGTATTTTTTTGTAAAATATTTGAAGGTTCTCCCAAGCAATCAATCTAATAAACTAGTGAATTTAGAATAAATATTTGAACTAACCTAATATACAAGACAAACAAATCTATTAAATATTTATATTTATTTTATTAAAACTTTGATACGATTCAAAATATGATGTATGACAATCGTTCCAAAAAAAAAAAAGCATATTTATATTTTACCATTCAAATTTGGTGTTATTTATGTTAAATGTATGCATTATAATTATGTTCATATGTTTTAATCCTTATTTCGGATTGAATTGGAAACTAAATAATTTGATTTATACAAATTAGATTCGAATTATTTGGAAATTATCTAAATAAATCAACTTGTCGCAAATGCATATACATTGGATCTAACTGAGTTCATTATCATTTGTATATTTGATATTTTATGTCATTTGTTGACGAAGAGCCTATCGTTGAATGGAATAACGTGGAGACCATGATAGGATTTAAGAGGCTCGGGCTTGGCCAAATCCAACATGTCAAACTTTTGCGCATTAGGGCCTCGATAAATGGCAATCCACTTGACCAAGTTCTGGTGGACAGCGGAGCTGCTATGAATGTTATGCCAATCGGGACTCTATGGAAATTTGAAAAGACTAGAGATTATCTGACTCCTACATCCGTACGAATTATCGATTTTATGAGAAATTCTTACAAACCGACAGGTATTACTACTTTGAATGTGCAAGTGGGGACAAAGAAAATACTATCAACTTTCGTGGTGATCAATAGTAAGCTATTCTATTCGGTCCTCTTGGGGTGAGACTGGATTCACACATGCGAGTGTATGTCATCGACACTCCATCAAAAGTTGATGTTTTGGGATGGCGATGAAGTCCAGTAAGTGAAGGCTGAAAATGGTTTCTTTTCGACGGAAGTGATCATAGTTGATTCAAGCAAACGGCTCAAAGTAAAAGGATATGGGCTTAGTGAAATCGATCGCCCATCCCTTTTGAGGGGCTCATTGTTAAACATGGATCCAAAAATACCTGAACGTGAAGAAGACTTGGCCAGAAGCAGAAATCGAAAGAGCCTTCAAGACCTCGTGGGAAACTAGAGCCTTCTGAAGTCAAAGCCTCTTAATCCGCCGGAGCCCACTACTCGCCAAACAACAGAGCTCTAAATTATAAGGTTCCAGAGGATCGGGCTTCAAGGGAAGCGGCTCCAGAAGATCAGGCTCCAAAAGAAAAGTTTCGAAGATGAAGGCGGAGTTGGAGCCCAAGGCCACGAAGCAGGGTCCAAAGCAGGCTATATAGTTGAAGGCAACTACTACTTCAAGAGATAAAAGAGATTAGACATGGAGTGGGATAGCAGGAAGAAAATAGTTTGAAGAAATAAATAACCACCTCCTCGATTATATGAATTGATAGTTTATTAGGATTATTAAACACAACCAAAACACACGACAATATACACATCTTATCCAAACCTTAAAGTTTATCCTTTCATTCTAAGTAGTTTATCTATAGGTTTAAGAGCTTTATCCAGTAGATTTTAGCTAAATTCATCAAATCAGCATTCTAGGCTTGGCTTCACTACCAGAGCCGTCCTCAATCGAACGACTGACAGTCTCTTTGAAATACTGTCGGAACTCAGATCATCTCCAACTCATCCCGCAACACTAACAACAATTTTGCTATTTTTGCAAGGTGTGTCACTGCAATCCACCTTTTATTTTTGCAGTCTTCACCCTCTGACATGAGAGGGCACCTCACTTTTTCATATTTTTTTTTAATTTTATTTTAAAGTAAAAATTAATTAAAATTTATTAAAAATCATTATTATTTTATTATTTATAAAATAAATTATTTTTATATTTATATTTATATTTATATTTTATAATTAATATTAATTTTATTATATTCAATCAAATGATATTATAGGGAGTAGTATTTATATATATTTCACATAAATATTATTTAATAATATTAAGATTTTAATTTATGTAATTTAAAAATTATATATTATTTTGTATGCCAAAATAATAAGAAACATTATAAATTTAATTTATTAATATAATATTTATATATTTTTATAAATTAAATATACAAAAACAATAAAATATTTAATGTGTTTTACTTTTTTTTTTTTTTTTTTTTTGTTCCAAAACAATAATTTTATTTTACCAGTTTCAAAATAATAGTGTCATTTTTATTTTTGTAACTAACTCTCCAAATTTTTTTAAAATACATTATCAATATAATATTATTTCCTAGTGTTCATCTCAAATGTTTATTTATTTTGGAACGAATGGAGTAATGGAGTATAAATTTAAAATATTATAAAAAATAATATATAAAATAAAAATAAGTAAAATATTTATTAACCTGCAAAAATAGAGGATGCAATTGGAGATAGAATAATTTTAAAATTTAGGGTATGATTGAAGATGAATATATTAGAAGACAAATGATTGGAATGAATGTTTTGAACACATGCAAAAATAAAAAAACATATTGTAAATCTGCAAAAATGAAAACATATATTGTTCATCCAGCAAATGTATGAATTGAAGATGGTCTCATACAATTTGAATTTTTAGGGCGCATCGTATTAGAATAGGTTCGGAGCCTCTTCGAAAGATCTGACTTGGAGCCATACGAAAATTTATTTTCCGGTCTCAAGTATTTGTATGATTTACTTGTAACTCTATATATATTATAAAAATTGACTGAAATTAACATTTAAATTTCGAAAGTAAAATGTTATAATTTATTAAATAATAAAATTATATATGAATTCAAATAATTTGGGACGACAAACTATATATAATATACATAAAAATTAATATTTTTAACACTAAAAATATTATAAAAAATTGAGCTTGTGGGTGAATTGCCCCAGCGCTAGTGTAATTCCGTCGTGATTATAAGAGAGATTTTTTTTTTTTTATGTTTTGAGACGGAGGCATTATATTTGATATGAAACGATATTTCCTTCGTTGTTAATGGCGCACTGCACTTCCTTCCAGCGAAGAAATCCCGCCGTTTGTGGTGTTTGTTGTATTTGGCTTTGACTGACTGACTATTTGTAACTATGAAAGGCACGTTGGCAACCCTCCACCTGCCTCAATGCTCTTCAGCGGCCCTGCTCTTTCCGCGCTTCCGATCCCAATCCGGTTCCGATTCCAATTCCCTCAGAGGCACACCACTCTCCTCATGAATCCACCCCTAATTATTGCATGCGCTCATCGACTCGTTTCTTGAAGTTTTGTTTTTGTGTTTTTATTTTTTCGCTATTTAGCAGGTCTGAATTTTTTATCCAGGAGGGTTCTTCTCAAAGTGAGCTGCTGTAAATACAGTTGCGATCTGACAATCGAGGCCGATAAAGACGACGACGTTTTGGGTGTGACGATGCCGAAACTAGGGTTTGAACGGCGGCGCCCAGTTTTGGTCGCGGCTGTGGCTTGGATCCTGCTGCTGGGCAATTTTCCGCAGAAGGCGGGGGCTTCCAGTTCCCCAACTGCGTTCGTGGAAAATGTTATCTACTCTAATAAAATTGCCATCTTCTCTAAATCGTATTGCCCGTAAGTTTCGATCATCTATGATGCAACAGATAACGATTCCTGGCTAAACATGATGATGATGTTTATATTAAAGATTTATATGCTTAAATGAGGAGATCTTTTTTCCTTTGCACTGTTTTATTTATAAATGCCTGGCTGCCTGCTTATGATTATTTGGCAATGCGTGGTCTAAACTTGCGGAGAAATCACTGTATGTTGTGTGTGAAGTTTAATATAAACAATGTTTGCTGATAGATGCTGGTTCCTATATCTGTGATCCCCCCGCGCGGGGGGGGGGGGGGGTGGGATGTGTTTTGGACTTAAAATTAGTCTCTTTTTTGATAGGTGAAAGATGGGGAGATTTGAAGCAAACATTTTATTTCAATTGTGTAGTGTAGAATCTTGTTTATGACATTCCTATGCTTAGTGCAATAAATGATTTCTGAAGGTGGGATTGGGGATGGTTCATAGTGGACCATGCTATCTTTTGCTGAAGGAGCTGATTTTGACTACTTTTTCCTTTCAAGATTCATCATTTAATGTATCTTTAATTTTAGGATTAAAATTTACTTCCTTAATCAGAGACTTTTGAAGATTCATGTGTAGCTATTTTGTGTGGTTAGATACTCATTGCGTGCCAAGCGCATATTCAGTGAACTGAGGGAGCAACCGTATGTTGTGGAGCTTGATCATCGAGGTGATTATTCTTTTTCAGTTTTAAATGATAAAAGATAGTAGTGTTTCTGCAACTGATTACTTTTGTGTTTCTGGCCTTGGGATTGTGAAATACAGATGATGGGTATAAAATCCAGGATGTGCTTCTGGAGCTAGTTGGCCGCCGAACAGTCCCGCAAGTGTTTGTAAATGGGAAGCACATCGGTGGTTCTGATGGTATGATACTGTCATGTTTAAGCTGTTTATTTCCTCAATTGTTTTATTATTGCTCTATACCCGAATTTGGCTTGATTCGTCTCAAAAGGATCCATTATAGTTTCACTTTTGACATTCCATGATGCATTTCTTGTTTTTCGCTATGTCCTTTAAAATACAGATTTACAAGCTGCAGTTCAGAGTGGCCGGCTGCAGAACCTTTTGGGTAAAGCATGATTCTCACTCAGTATGCAAATACTTTTTGTAAGACTGAAACATTGAAGTTGATTTGGTTACATGCATTAGAATTTATGATTCCTAGTGCTTACTGGAAATCGAGCATGCTGTGATAGATGTAAAATGCTTGGAATTGTAGATGGGCCTTTTTTCATTGTTGCTACTCCAGGTGGTTTGACATTTTCACTCCGGTTATGGTCTCTATTATGATCAGTTCTTATTTGTTGTGGTGTGAAGCAACCAAGTCTTCAATGCATAGTTTCTGCTGTTGCTTGTCCTTGTATTAATAGTTGTATAATGATGTTTGAACTGTTGTCTTTGGAAATTAGCTATTGTCTCCAATGAGACCATGTAAGTATATTCCTTCGTCACTCTGGTTCTATAAAATTCTCATGTGCTCATTACCTAAAATCATCTAATTTAAGTTTAACAGTAATAGTTGTGGTCATCATCTATCATTATATATATGTGTGTGTATATATATATATATTTATCTTTAGATTTGAATTTTAGTTCAACATAATTTATATAGGTTGGGGGAATTGATAAGGTGCTGAACTACTATTCAAAACAAATCTATTCAAAACAAATCTATTCATATCAGGTTATTCCATATCTTGAATTTCTCATAAAATAAATTACTAGAAGGTATGTCAATTTCAGGGTTTTTCTTTTTTGTTATTATTATTTTTTTTAATGTCAATTTCAGGGTTAAGTATCGAACCTTCAGATTTTTGAGTGATTTGTTTGTTTAGAATGTGGGAGCACAAGTGGCGATCTGTTTGGTGAGGCTGGGGCTTTAGATTTGGGGAGTTCTTTAGGGTTTTGGGTCGATAGGAAGTTTGGCAGTAGTATTATTTCCGAATCCGATTTATTTGGCTCACCTTTTTTATTCGAATCTTCACTTTCACTAGTATTTTCTTGTTTCCTTGCCTTCTTTCTAGTCTTAAACACCAATTTTGAAGGTTGCTGGATTTGAATCAGACCAAACTGTTAAACTTGTTTCATTCATGGTTGACATTGAGTAAAACTTCCGGGATTGCCGCTGCGTCAAAGTCACTGGTGCTGCCAGGAAGTTCTTTTCATTCAACAGCCAAAAGTGCTGCTACAATTTTATACAAATGGAAGTGTTATTTTTTTTTTCCCAATCTCTATTCCAAATATTGTAAATGTATAGTTTGCTTCTTGGTGGATTCTGTTGTTCAAATTTTCGGTTGCAAGGAACCTAAAAGTAGCAGGGGCATCAGATCCTTGGTGGATTTCAAGCGAACTACTCGGTGGCTATTGTAACCCAAGAGCCGTTTGCAAAGTGAAATTGTGCGATAAAATGGTATTGATAATAGAACCATCCCATTCAGGTAAAATGTTTGAACTCTTCTTTTTATTGCTTTTGGTAGAAAATTAGTGAGTGCTTGTATTCTCTTTTTCTTTCTAACCGAGCTGTTATGGAAATCTTTGATGGATGATTTAGGCCAACTGATCAATAGAGCAAAGCATGTTTTTCTTCATTGTCTTTGTTGCTGCTGTTCCATTTTGTTGCTTGTAGCCTCTTGTGTGAACATCTATATTTTATTTCCAAAATGCCTGTTTGTTTTCCCAATATATTACTGAAAATATTCATTGTAGTTTCTAAGTTTTAATAATATGGGGAAAATCAGATGATGTTTTTTGTGCAGTGAGTGAGTCTTTCAAATTGAATTTGGTAGAACTATTGATAATTGGAAGAACCTTCAGCTAGTTGGCCTTTTTTGATTTGGTTGGCATTTGTTTTTTTGTGTAAGATAGATAGATAGATGTTTTTATTACTGGTTTGGTTTTTCTCTTTCTCCTCCTTCCATCTCTGTTTTGTGTGAATACGTTCCACATGGTCGACAATGTTTTAATGGTGATAGCTGATGTGGATGTAATGGTGTTTACATGTCATCTGATCTTGACAATACTGCCGTGTTCTTCTCTGTTGGTCTCTTTTCTCTTTCTCCTCCTCTCCATCTCTGTTTTGTGTGAATACGTTCCACATGGTCGACAATGTTTTAATGGTGATAGCTGATGTGGATGTAATGGTGTTTACATGTCATCTGATCTTGACAATACTGCCGTGTTCTTCTCTGTTGGTCTCTTTTCTCTTTCTCCTCCTCTCCATCTCTGTTTTGTGTGAATACGTTCCACATGGTCGACAATGTTTTAATGGTGATAGCTGATGTGGATGTAATGGTGTTTACATGTCATCTGATCTTGACAATACTGCCGTGTTCTTCTCTGTTGGTCTCTTTTCTCTTTCTCCTCCTCTCCATCTCTGTTTTGTGTGAATACGTTCCACATGGTCGACAATGTTTTAATGGTGATAGCTGATGTGGATGTAATGGTGTTTACATGTCATCTGATCTTGACAATACTGCCGTGTTCTTCTCTGTTGGTCTCTTTTCTCTTTCTCCTCCTCTCCATCTCTGTTTTGTGTGAATACGTTCCACATGGTCGACAATGTTTTAATGGTGATAGCTGATGTGGATGTAATGGTGTTTACATGTCATCTGATCTTGACAATACTGCCGTGTTCTTCTCTGTTGGTCTCTTTTCTCTTTCTCCTCCTCTCCATCTCTGTTTTGTGTGAATACGTTCCACATGGTCGACAATGTTTTAATGGTGATAGCTGATGTGGATGTAATGGTGTTTACATGTCATCTGATCTTGACAATACTGCCGTGTTCTTCTCTGTTGGTCTCTTTTCTCTTTCTCCTCCTCTCCATCTCTGTTTTGTGTGAATACGTTCCACATGGTCGACAATGTTTTAATGGTGATAGCTGATGTGGATGTAATGGTGTTTACATGTCATCTGATCTTGACAATACTGCCGTGTTCTTCTCTGTTGGTCTCTTTTCTCTTTCTCCTCCTCTCCATCTCTGTTTTGTGTGAATACGTTCCACATGGTCGACAATGTTTTAATGGTGATAGCTGATGTGGATGTAATGGTGTTTACATGTCATCTGATCTTGACAATACTGCCGTGTTCTTCTCTGTTGGTCTCTTTTCTCTTTCTCCTCCTCTCCATCTCTGTTTTGTGTGAATACGTTCCACATGGTCGACAATGTTTTAATGGTGATAGCTGATGTGGATGTAATGGTGTTTACATGTCATCTGATCTTGACAATACTGCCGTGTTCTTCTCTGTTGGTCTCTTTTCTCTTTCTCCTCCTCTCCATCTCTGTTTTGTGTGAATACGTTCCACATGGTCGACAATGTTTTAATGGTGATAGCTGATGTGGATGTAATGGTGTTTACATGTCATCTGATCTTGACAATACTGCCGTGTTCTTCTCTGTTGGTCTCTTTTCTCTTTCTCCTCCTCTCCATCTCTGTTTTGTGTGAATACGTTCCACATGGTCGACAATGTTTTAATGGTGATAGCTGATGTGGATGTAATGGTGTTTACATGTCATCTGATCTTGACAATACTGCCGTGTTCTTCTCTGTTGGTCTCTTTTCTCTTTCTCCTCCTCTCCATCTCTGTTTTGTGTGAATACGTTCCACATGGTCGACAATGTTTTAATGGTGATAGCTGATGTGGATGTAATGGTGTTTACATGTCATCTGATCTTGACAATACTGCCGTGTTCTTCTCTGTTGGTCTCTTTTCTCTTTCTCCTCCTCTCCATCTCTGTTTTGTGTGAATACGTTCCACATGGTCGACAATGTTTTAATGGTGATAGCTGATGTGGATGTAATGGTGTTTACATGTCATCTGATCTTGACAATACTGCCGTGTTCTTCTCTGTTGGTCTCTTTTCTCTTTCTCCTCCTCTCCATCTCTGTTTTGTGTGAATACGTTCCACATGGTCGACAATGTTTTAATGGTGATAGCTGATGTGGATGTAATGGTGTTTACATGTCATCTGATCTTGACAATACTGCCGTGTTCTTCTCTGTTGGTCTCTTTTCTCTTTCTCCTCCTCTCCATCTCTGTTTTGTGTGAATACGTTCCACATGGTCGACAATGTTTTAATGGTGATAGCTGATGTGGATGTAATGGTGTTTACATGTCATCTGATCTTGACAATACTGCCGTGTTCTTCTCTGTTGGTCTCTTTTCTCTTTCTCCTCCTCTCCATCTCTGTTTTGTGTGAATACGTTCCACATGGTCGACAATGTCCGTACAGATAGCGTAGTTTCATGGAGCTGAGGTGATCAGAGCTTCGTAGTTTGGGATCCCCATGCCTTCTCCACCATTGTTCTTCCCAGATACTTCAAGCACAACAACTTCTCCAGCTTCGTCCGACAGCTCAATACTTACGTAAGTCTACCAAAATCAATCCATCTTCAATTGCTTTTATTTTTTTTTTAAACCTAAAAACCATAGATCGATTCAATTCAATTTTATTTTTGATGAATTGGAATGATTAATTGAGATTAGCGTTAGTCATTTTCCCCTAATTTCAATTGGGACAGCCGTTCATGAATTCTTGTCTTAACCTAGTTTGAATTGAAGACATGGTGGAACTATTATGTTATTATACATGGTAGTGATTGATTGAATGATGAATTTGGTGGTAAATTTAGCCCCTTTTTTTACATTGTTATTCTTCCCTCTTCCTTAAGTCAGTCAATGTCAAGATTCTTCTAGAAGTTATTCTACAAGATGATGATTGATGAATTCCTGAAGCCCTCCAATCAATATAAGGTAGCATTCTATTACAAAATACGAAACTCCTATTCAAACATCTCGAGTTTTTCCGATTGCAGGGCTTTAGAAAGATCGATCCTGAAAAATGGGAATTCGCCAACAAGACATTCCTCTGCAGTCAGAAGAATCTCCTCTTCAAAATCCACCAATTTCTCCGCTGCCATCGTCCTCCTCTGGCATTGCCCCCTGCATTACATGTCCTAGTGATGGAGCTCGTCAAGCTCTGGCAAAATTCAGGGCACTAAGCGCAAGCAACAACAAATGATGAACTTTCTCACCAAAGTGATGAAGAATCCAAACTTAATCCATCGATTAGTTCAACAAAAGCAGAAGCACAAGGAGCTGGACGAGGCCAGCACCAAGAAACAGCCCCGGCCAATCAAGCTAAATACCCCACAAATCGAGCCTCTTGAATACCAGGTATCTTTCCAAGTCCATGAGCTCGATCCCCGCACATTGGAAATGCAGTGCTATGGCTGCGGCGGCAGCCACTAGCAACTTGATGTCGATGTTGGGAAGTTATTGGGAATTTACGACAAAGAACTTGACGAGGGATCACAT